ACCATTTTAAGTGAATCCATCCCTAACACATTCATTGTTACTTTACAGTGTCTAATAAAAAAAAACATTCAGTGTTGGTGAACTTTGGCACTAGTTACACATGTTGAGAAACAAGTGGGCGTGACCAATAGATGATTTGCTGCACACTGCAAGATCTCATGTAAAGAAGTATGGAACAAACTTTTGCTGATTTTGAACTTGAATTTTTTTTTAATAGATGGGATAAGAATAGATATCTTACTGCATCAAAATTGACCATCATCAAATGCATATACTGTAAGAGGATTAATTATTCACTGGGTTTTAATTTTGCTTATTTCGCTGACTGGAAAATGCGCTAAGCTGAAACCCAGTGAATATGTAAAATTTAGCATGGAATACATTATCTAAATGATAAAACTGTGAATTTAAAACCCACTGAATATGCCTGAAATAGTAAATCAGCGAAATTTAAACCCAGTGAAAATTAAACATTTTACAGTAGCTCATTACTACTAGTAGGCATGGAAATAACTTAACAAAATACCCTTTTTGTTGTGTCAATTTCCAAATAATGTTAATAAGATGTCACTACGGTGCTATGACCTTTGTTTGTCTCGTTTTTACATTCAAATTTACACATAACACAGATTCTCACAGCGATCTATTCTTGTTTCTTACTTATTAGCTGCAAAGTTGACAGATTGGTCACTGAGGAATTCAATCTGTATTGGTTTTTCTCCCATACAATACTGTCTTAACAAAGCCATGCATCCATGCAATGTATCTCTGGACGGTTTGTTATCATGAAATAAATCACCACCGAGTAGAAGAAAATCAACCTATAAGAAAAAGTAAACATAAATATTATCAAGGCCCTCAGAACTGTCATCAAATCATGACTGAAATGATTACATGTTTTGACAGTAATGAGAAATGTTTACACTTATTCCCCATGCAATAAATCCTCAAATGATTGCTTTTTTTTTTAAAATGGCTTAATGAAACCAAAGACACATGTCTAGAGACAGGCAACTGTCGCCTTTTCTTTGATAATATCATCAATGTTTACCAGTGCTCTCGGGATTGAATCTACATCTATGGCTGCAATGATACTGTGGAGAACACCAACGACTTCAATAAAGTGTTATGATGTTGTTATTAAATGCATAGTTTATTATAATAAAACAAATAGTTACCTCAGTGTTCAGTCAATATTCCAACGTCATCATTTTAAAGGTGAGTGGAAATTTAGATATTATCTTTTCAGATTTACTGTGTGGGGATTGCTAATCACTATAAGAGCTTGGCAATATACCGTATTTATCCGGCTAAGAGCCCATGCCCG